CCCCCCCCCCTCTAAATCCGCCACTGCATTCGATACCGCTTAAAATGAGTTTATACGTGGTAGTGTTGAAATACAGCAGCCCAAACCGATCGTCTCTGTTTTTTATTAGTTATTATTATTATTATTATTATTATTAATGATACGTAATACAAACAGACTACCCAAATGAAGTTTCGAATGCTTTATTGCTGATAGAAAGTTGCGTGGCACAGAATAAGTTTTTAAAAATAACTATTTTAAATTGCACTAGTCTAAACAGAAGAATGTAGAGTAGAAGCATGGTGTGAGAGCGGTTTTTAAACACAGGTCAGGTGGTCGATGTCGTCATATCCGGCGGTGCACGCGGCAGGGTGTTGGTCACGTGATGAATCAATGACTGGAATTAAAAGGAAACGTTGTATGAGCGATCATGAAAGCAACTTCTTCTTCTCAACCACAAACATTGGCTCTAGTATGGCACTAGCATGGCAAACATTACTTTTGCAGCAAGAAACGTAATAAGAGAAGGAAAAATTCATTCTTAGAAGCTTAAGAGTACTAATAAATGTATGTCAGAAATGAGATTATACGATTAAAAATAATAATAATAACGATACGTATCGTTCTGGTCTGAACCCTTGTATTAACATGTATGATCTTAAAGCTACCTTATTATTACTTCTTCATATTTTGACTGTTTACCGACTGAATAGAAAAAAAAGAAGATATAGAGATTCTATTATACACACACTGTAAAAACAGTGTTTAGCTCCGAGACACATTTCTAAGCGCCTGTTTTGTCTCATTTTTTCCACGCGTTTAGCACCTAAGCACGTTTAGCCTATTAACATGTTACACGCTTTGACGTGCTTCACGCCTAATAAATGTAGGGTGTATTTGTTTAACTTTAAGGTTGTAACGTTTTCAACTGTTTCAGTCACTACACACACACGCACGCGCGCGGGAGCGCGAAGTCACGGTCACCTTTACCTGCTATAGATATCTCTATCTATAACAGGGTACCGTGAACTGTCAACATAGTTGATTCACACCATCATCTTTACAGCGGGACTTATTCATCCTTGTGTTAGCTGACCTTGCGAGGAAGTTAATTGGAATATATTTCTGAAAAACAAGTTAGGAAAATTCACTAGTTTACTAAAGACACGAAACAACTATCACTTTTACTTTAAAACATTTTTTTCATATTTTGATAAAATGCGTTAAGGTATTGATGTTCATTTATTTTTTCCGGAAGTAATGAACAATAGAACATCAGGATGATGGTGGGGTATTCATTATAATGGTTTATTTAAGCTTTCATCACATGCTGGTTATTTTGGTAACGATAGTCCGAATATTTTCAAATCGCACCGCTCTAGTCGCCGACTAACCCAAGCCCATTTTGGAATTAACCGCTAACTGTAGTTCATACAGCATAAGACGTGTTTTGGTGATTAATAAAAAAGTTTTCAAACATTAAATAATGTTTTTCCAGAATGTTATAAAACGCTTATAAAACTGCAAGTGCATCATTTTGCATGGAGTTAAAAACACCCATAACGATATCATGACGTTATTCTATACCATCACCATCATGTAACCAGCTGATGACGTCGTGAAAACGTTATTTGTTATTTGGATTATTACTTAATAGGCATATTTTAAATAATCACACGTTACTGCAAGGAAGGACACAACGCGTTCGAGCAGGCTGCTTCTCGCCTCCAACAGCCCTATATGTTTACAAGGGGAAGTGTTAAGCAAAATTGTTGAGTCTTGTAATAAACTTGTTATGGGATCGTATATATGAGATTGTGAAGCATTTTTTTCTGTGACGAGCTTGAAAAGCTAAACATGTTGTTTAGCAGCTCCACGCGTTAAGGAATTCCACACCTATAGCAGCTCCATATGTTTAGCAGCCTCACGCGCTTAGCAGGGGAAGTGCTTAGCCAATGTGCTTAGCTTGTGATAGACTTGTTATAGAATCATATGCCGGTGAAGCTAAACACATAACTAAACGTGTAACAATGCCAACGTGTCTAGCTTTTTCTTCTGTGAAACGTTTGAAAAGCTATACGCGTTTAGCATTTACACAGATTTCTAAATGCGTATAGGTGCCTAACGTGTGTTGTATATATTTAAATGCTAAACACTGTTTTTACAGTGCACTTAAAACAAACCGCGATACATCTGTAACATACTCCAAACTTATCTGAGTATTGTAATTTTACCTGGTGTATCCGTTGTCTCCACTTGGGCCATATCCAGATACTTTATAGCTGTTGTATCCGGATCCGCGATATCCGTCGCGGGCACCATATCCGTTCCTTTGATAATTATTGTAGCTGCGGGCGCCATATCCGTTCCCATAATTATTGTAGCTGCGGGCGCCATATCCGTTCCCATGAGAATTATAGCTGCGGGTGCCATATCCGTCTGGTTGATAATTGTAGCTGCGGGCGTCATATCCGTCTGGTTGATAATTATAACTGCGGGAGCCATATCCGTCTGGTTGATAATTGTAGCTGCGGGCGCCATATCCATTCCCATATCCACCATCTTGATAGCTATTGTTTATTATTCAAGAGAAAAAATGTTTAATTTTTATTGAGGGCATAATGAGAAACTGAACAAGATTATTTATAGGAGAAGGAGACCCCCATTTTCCAATTATTTCAGTTGGTATTGATTTTGCTTTTAGACTTATTGTAAAAAAACCAGAGCTTATTGTTCTTAAAGAATGAACCACCACTGTCGCACAGGTTTTGTGCTCAGTTCTGTTACTCAAATTAAGCGTCAACAAAAACTAGCTTACATTACATGTTAGCATGTAGGTTTCCGAAGAAATCAGCAGACTAGAGCAGAAAAAAGGACTACATGTTAATATCTGGCATACTGTATAAATGTGAAGTCAAAAGCTTATCGTTAATCTGTTGATTAAATAATCCGTTGTGCTAAATCATATCGAAATATTTCTCCGCGCCACGGCTGCACATGTACAAGGGCAAGTCACCATTTTACGGCACACATTACGTCATTTTAAAAGCTGCATGCATAGGTATATTGAAAGAAAAAAGATTACCGATTCGATTTTCCTCACACTTGATTTTCAAGGGCCTATTGCAATATACATGTACATGTACAAGACCTTTAACCACTTTACTCTCTCTTCTTTCTCTCTCTCTCTCTTTCACTCTCTCGATCCCCATCTCTCTCTCTCTCTCTCTCTCTCTCTCTCTCTCTGCCCCAACCCACATCTCTCTCTCACTTTATTTCTCTTTCTCTCCACATCTCACCTGGCAGCCACAAGAGTAACAAGTAGAATCAGCTTCATCATCTTGGCGGGAAAGTAGTTGTCGTCTGTGTACTGACGGAACGAAGTGACTCGAATCTTGACTGGAAACAAAGTCGATCCAAACTAGATGGAGACGGTGTTTTATACAGTTCTGAGACACAAAAGGAATACGTAATGATAGTATTTATATTCCCTTGAGATATCTGTTTTGAATATCGGGTTCATTAATTTGAAACGTGACGCATTATGAATGCATTATTATTTTCGTAGTTCAATATGACAATTATTATTCAAATAAGAAAATATTCGTAAAATAGAAAAACTGTCCTTTACCGCATGCTTCATAATATACACTGCGATACAATGCGTTTCTTTGTATTAACATAGATCAATATCATTGCATTCTCCCCCATTCCTTAGGTACCTCAATTAGTGGCGTATCCACGGTAAACAAGGTCCTTAGCTACAAAAAATACTGTTTAGGACGAGGGAGCATTAGGCCTTAAATTGTCATTAAACCCACCCAGTGGCACTAACTCCCTACTGGAACGTTCTTTCCAAGAAAGGCCATTTTGAACACCGTCCGTATAATGGATAATAAATAAATTTCTCAGGTGGGGACCCTGCGGATGCGCTAAGAGCGCGTGCCATAAATTAGAAAGGTGTGTGACATATCAGTCTATTATAATTTGTAATTGCTGCTAAGTTTGGGTCGTCTTTTCACCCGTCAATACAAAAAGTTACCAGTTATGAATTACACATTAGTATCTCACCCCAAAGGAACATCATCGCACTTACATTGCCAATCTGTGAACCACAATAAAATATCTAATGAAGTCATTAACCAATAGACATGCACTGAAAGCTGGTTGTGTCCCGACTTTATTTATTTGTTAGTAAGTGGCCATCTCAGAAGACCACGTACTTTCTAAATTCAACGTTCTACNTTATATTTCAGAATAAAATATTTTATCGCAGTAAAAATTCATTCGCTTTTGTTTTCTCTAAAAACCAAGCGCGTCTGTACATTTTTGAATTTCAAAGGTCTCTGGTCTCTGGTTAATACAAGAAGAGAGAATATATATTTATGGTACAATTTAAAGATGTGATTATTTTTATCAAAGTCTTGAAGTTGTTGAGCATTAATATTACATCAAGACAGAAGACGCGAGTTCTGTAGATTTCGAATATAAGAAAAACAGAAAATGGTGGTAAATAAGTGTTTAAATTATAACGTTTTGTTTACACAAGTTTCGTTAAAAAAATGGCCGCCATCTTGAACAAGCTTATAGTGTTTCCCTTCGCAATGCACTCAAACACATTTGTTTAATGTACATGTATTTCTAAGGCAACAGTTATATTGTGCTCTTCGTTGCTACGTGAGGACCTATCAAATAACAAGAAAATTAACTTTAAAGTGCACTCGGTAGATTCAAGAGAAATTGAAACTGAGAAAAAAAACGTGAGGACCTATCAAATAACATGAAAATTAACTTAAAAATGCACTCGGTAGATTCGGGAGAAATTGAAACTGAGAAAAAATACAAAATGCTATCACTTTTTTTATCTTCAGGTTTTGTGCAAAAAGTGGATGGAGCAGAAAGTCTTTGCCTATACAGAGATGTTGAGCGGAAAATTTCATCTCGGTTTGTTGCCACTGATTACAGTTTTATTTGTACAGGGTAGAAAGCACCACACAATCTGACTCGCCCGTATAATTCCAACGCAGGATATTTTGAAAATTTGTCTAATAATTAGAAGAAGAATACATTCCACGAACACTGAATTATATTGTTAGATTTAAAAAATCGAAAAAGAAAAAAATACGTTATTATTCAGCTCTGCGCCTTTGTGATATAATGTTGGCAAAATAACCCTGACTATTCAACTTTAGGGCATGTACAACTATAACAACATGTACGACAGTATTTTACGAGCATTTGATACGATAGTAATTGCCTTAAGTAGGTCGTAAAGATTTTTATTGCAATAAGCACACGAGCCAAGGATTGGAAATCGCCGGACCTGACTTAATCCTTTGACTTCATAATGTGCTTGTCTGCTTTAAGGAGAACGTAATCTCTCTCTCTCTCTCTCTCTCTCTCTCTCTCTCTCTCTCTTTTGCACACACACACACACACACACACACACACACACACACACTGACAGAATTAATTTTACACATTATGAGAATTTTGTGAATGAATTTTTCACACAAATTTAGATGACAGAGCCTGGAATTTCCGAAATCATCCGATGAACAAGATTATTTATAAAAAAACAGCTAATTATCCAAGGCAAAGAAACGCAATATAGACCCACATTTTCGCTGACAAATTAGCACGAACTTGGTACCCTTTGAAATTAATAGATTCAAAACGCCTTTGGTACTTAGTAGCTTAATAAGCCTTCAGTCTATTGAATGTCTTCTGTTGTCTTCAAAGGTGATAAAGGTGATAACCCCCTACGTATTTAATGGGCTTTTGATTCGACAAAATAAGCGTTATGCATAACACGTTAATGAAAGAAAGTCTCCATTGAGTACTGGGCATAGGGGTGTGGCGCGTGTACCAGCGTGAGAACTGCCACGTGTCTCGTATTCAGCGTACCTGCCTGTCTTAATCCAATGCTTAGATTAATCTTCATCACAAACTGTTGTACACATTAGAAATGTTTACTGGATTTCAAAACTGTTGAATATCTTTTTTCACGATGCTGAGCAGCAATCGGGTCAGCTATGATGGTGAAATCAATGTGCCATTATTTCAAGTAAAGACAATTATATTGGCTTTAGTTTTAAGTTAAAGATCCAAGGGCAAAGAATCTCTGTGGAAATATGTCATAAGTTGCACCGTTTTAAAAGATCGTTTACAATGGTAGGGTACAAGTACATGTAGCAACGCCCAATCTTCTGGTTCTTGATCTACTGTTATTAGTAGTACATAAATGCTGTAAACAATATGTGTGTGTGTGTGTGTGTGTGTGTGAGAGAGAGAGAGAGAGAGAGAGAGAGAGAGAGAGAGAGAGGAGGGGGGGGGGATAATGATTCGTATACTGTTCTACGCATTTATCGATGGGAACGTACAAACCTGCATCCTCCTAACGCCACATAAATCCTCACATATCTTACACCTGATCCACACTCGGTGAAATCGACATCATAAACCTAACACCGCCATGACGAAGCTGAACGTAATATATGTTTTGGTTGTCATAGTGATTGTCCAAGAGGTCAAAGGTCATGGAAGAATGGCCGATCCTCCGGCCAGGAACAGTGCCTGGCGATATGGGTTCAACACACCACCCAACTACAGCGATAACGGGCTGTACTGCGGCGGAAAGGGGGTAGGCTCTTCCACACACACACAAACACACACAGACTCACACACACACACACACACTCACACACACACACACACACGTAGGCTATTGGTTGCAGTAATCTGTCTAAGCTGCGCTTACATCTCTTATAGCTGCCTGCATACACTCTTTCTCTCTTACATACACACACACACACACACACATGCTCGCGCGCGCGCGCGCGTGCGAGCACAAATACACGTACCAGTATTGTTTGTCCTAAACCGACAGTGTACACTTTTGCAATTGTTTCAATGTTTTCCCTTCAGGACATCTGGTGTAACGTGCAAGATCGCATTACTAAATCATGATATAACTACCAATACTTAGAGCTACGAGCCTTAATTGAAAAGTGAAAGTGCGCGGCGTTTAAAATATTTGTTAGTGGCATTTGACTTTGGAGCTTAGTACGGCGAAGCTAGGTCTTCGACTTTCACTGCGGGTAATTTATTCTAAAACTTTGAACTGTCGTCTACGTTAGACAATTGTCAGAATAAATAAATAAATAAAATAATATGTAATAATAAGATTGAAGCTACATGTATGAACAAAATGGGAAGTTAAATATGACGTGAAGCTGCACTACGAGTTCACGAGGAAACCAAGGTAAACATGTGCCGTATCAATACTGCCAGCATTAGTTTGCAGACTCCCCAAATGTGAAGGTTCCCAAGGTTTTAAGATGAACCAAAGTCCTCTACGTAGAACTCGCCGGTCCTATAGGTCAATCTCTATCGCTGTGCAAAAGCGCATAATAGTTACCGACAAGCCCTGCAGACAAGGGTTTCTGAACCCCTGTTTCAAAACTCCATGGTGACACATTAAGCGTGACTTCAGTAGGAGGACGGTCTCAAGGTTAGGTCAATTGGGTCACGAGGCACCACGTGACTGTAAGCAGACGACACCTTTCCCATCGATGTTGTCTGCAGCGCGATCAAAACTGACGCAGAAATGATGAAGCTCGTGCTGTGTTGCGCGTTGGTCAGCTTATTGGCTGTCCACTATGTCAAAGGTCACGGCCGACTGACCAATCCACCGTCTAGAAACTGCGCGTGGCGGTTCGGGTTCGGCACTCCGATCAATTACGACGATGACGGACTGTACTGTGGGGGATTTTCGGTAACTATTGCTAAATATGAAAGATACATCCGGAAAAACTCGCTTGTTTGTTTTCTTTATTTCGCTTTGAAAGAATCTAAAGATCGACCCCTCTTCTTTGAGGCACGCTAGTTTTTACCCACTGCAGAGTGTAGGCCCTATCGCAGATACAGCCCATTTCAATTAAATATGGTGAACATTCGGTAGGTAAATAATTTTGCGGTAAGAAGTTTTAAGTCAATGGTTTTTTCGTTTTATAAAATGGTCACTTTTTGTGCTATTCATCCTATCCACAGAGGCAATGGAACACTAACGGTGGGAAATGCGGCATCTGTGGCGACCCCTACGACGGAAAACGTGACCATGAAGCTGGCGGTCGCTATGCAACCGGCACTATCGTGCGTTCTTACCAAACTGGTCAAGTCATCGACATCGAGGTCTATTTGACGGCTGCGCATAAGGGCTGGTTTGAGTTCCGGTTATGTCCTCATAACAACCCCAGTATCCCGGCCACGCAGGCCTGCCTGGACAGGTACCTGCTGCAGGTAAACTATATCATATATCACACGTGTCTTGTTCTTTTGAACAGATTTAGCTGGTATTGAATTAAGTTCCGATGTGGACTTTTTTTTTGCTTGTGAAAGACTTTTGTTTCCCACAATCACATGTTCATATTGCACGCGCCATAATCGTTTGATAGGATAGTATGAATTTATATCTATAGGTAGCCTATGGCAAGAATATGCCACAGAGCCAGTTTCAGTAACCTTGACCTACTTTTCAAGGTCAAAGGGGCTTTTAAAGGCAAATTTTGTAAAATTTGAAATTGACATTAGGTCTAAAGTATAAGCCGTATGGATAAGGGCCTCATAGCAAAAGATACTGAGCATAATCCCCAGATATTGACCTACTTTTATGCAAGTAGGTCAAGGTCAAGGTCGCTAATGGCCAAACTGGCTCAAAACAGATTTGTTTCCGAGATCTCATAAACCGGAAGGCCCAGAGTCCCGATCTAGTGGCAAATCATGCCCTATATATTTATTTAAGGTTAGCTGTACTTTGGTAGCGACTGCTTCATTACTTTTTTAAATATAGATTTTTTAATATTTATGACATTGCAAAAATCTTGAGTTTGGCAATTTCTCCATGAAACACTAATTTTTGGTCATAGCATGCTATAGTAAACTACCCCAAATATATACCCAAAATTGCCAAATCAAATGTCAAATTTGACCTTGACCCTCATTTTCAAGGTCATTTGGCTTTGTCATAGAGAAATATTGAAGTGGGCTAAAAGTGATGTTTTGTTGACACCCCCCCCAATTCGCACATGCTCTTTCAGAATATGGGGTCAAATTTAACCCGTGACCTTCACATGACCTTGTAAGATCATTTCCCGGCTATTTTGCAGGGAATCCTCCGCCACTGGCTTTTGCCAGTTGCAGTCTAGTTAGGATTCCCCATAGGGGAATACTATTGTTTTTGGTAGTATTATAGTTATTATTCTTTCCGCGCATTTTTTTTCGCAAAAAATCTGAAATAATTATCATAGGTAGCCTATGGCAAGAATATGCCACAGAACCAGTTTCAGTGCCCTTAACTTACTTTTCAAGGTCACAGGGGCTTTGAAAGGCAAAATTTGTAAAATTTGAAATTGCCATTATGCCTAAAGTATAAGCCCTATGGCTAATGGCCTCATGGCCAATGATACTGAGCTAAATCCCCAGATGTTGACCTACTTTTATGCAAGTAGGTCAAGGTCAAGGTCGCTAATGGCCAAACGGGCTCAAAAACAGATTTGTTTCCGAGATCTCAAAAACAGAGGGGCCCAGAGACCCAATCAAAGTAGCAAATGATGCCCTATATATTTATCTAAGGTTAGCCGTACTTTGGTAGCGACTGCTTAATTACTTTTTTTAATATAGATTTTTAAATATTTATGACATTGCAGAAATCTTGAGTTTGGCATTTTCTCCATGAAACACTGGTTTTTGGTCATAGCATGCTATAGTAAACTACCCCAAACATATACCCAAAACCCCCAAATCAAATGTCAAATTTGACCTTGACTCTCATTTTCAAGGTCATTCGGCTATTTCATTGAGAAATATTGAAGTGGGCTAAAAGTGATGTTTTGTTGACACCCCCACCCCCCAATTCGCACATGCTCTTTCAGAATATGGGGTCAAATTTAACCCATGACCTTCACGTGACCTTGTAAGAGCATTTCCACGCCTATTTTGCAGGGGAATCCTCCGCCACTGGCTTTAGCCAGTTGCAGTCTAGTTATTATTATTATTCTTTCGACGCGTTTTTTTTTTCGCAAAAAATCTGAAATAATTTACATAGGTAGCCTATGGTGAGAATATGCCATAGACCCAGTTTCAGTGACCTTGACCTACTTTTCAAGGTCACAGTGGCTTTTAAATACAAAATTTGTAAAATTTGAAATTGCCATTAGGCCTAAAGTATAAGCCATATGGCTAAGGGCCTTATAGGCAATAATACTGAGCCAAATCCACAGATAATGACCTACTTTCATGCAAGTAGGTCAAGGTCAAGGTCGCTCATGGCCAAACGGGCTCAAAAAAAGTTTGTTTGCCATAGGCTACCTAAGATATCAAATTTTGGCATTCTTTTGAGTAGCATATAAAGAGTTTATCAAATTTTACAAAGATTAAGGAAAAGAATAACCACAATAAAAAGAAAACTGAGACCAAATAGCAGATATTTAAGAGTAAATAGTTACATATTTCTCAAAATTAGACCATAATTTTAAAACAATTAAAAAACTGAATTCTTTTTACGAAACAAAACGCATATTCTGTACAAACTCAGAGTATCCACATGTTAAGAGATTAGAACAAAAACGGAAATATTGTGCACAGCTTTGTGTGAAGTAGAATACGAGAGAAAAGGTACGTTTACTATATTGGCTTGGGAAACAAATCCAAAGTCGTCACATGTCTTGTTCCCAGAGAGCGGATGGCAGCGGTGCTCGCACCCAGGTTGATAAAGGACCCACCACATACAGAATGAAATACAAGCTGCCTGCTGGTCTCACCTGCTCCCAGTGTGTGATGCAGTGGAAATATCGCACAGGTGAGAACCCTCGTGCCTGTCTATTTCAGTTGGTATTTCTTCTTTGTCCAACTCCCACATTTAATTCCTCTTCCATGGTTTGTTGCAAACCCTAAAATAATGCGGAAGTTACTCCCTCCCCCCTCTCTTTAAATTCTCTCTCTCTCTCTCTCTCTTTCCATTTACGTGCAGCTAATGCTGACATTCATTTTTCTCTGAAATTATTGAAAGGGAAAGTACAATATAAAGCCTATTAATAAACAATTTACAGAAGTTTAATATCCCTATATTTGATATCCCAGAGCTACATCTCTTTATGCTTTCATTTATACCTAGGTAACAGCTGGGGTACGGACGCTAATGGGCGTGGTTGCCTAGGATGCGGACCTCAGGAGGAGTTTTATAACTGCGCGGACGTATCTATCGGTAAATAGCACCATGGACTAATTCCACAAGTACACTAATACAACACTTCTCCTTTTCTTTCTTTAAATACTTTTATTTCTGGCGAAAAGTTGGATGGAATAAATAGCTGTTTTTTTCCCTACATCTTAGGCGTAACGGAAACCCTATTTTCACCCTAAAGCCAGAACGATTGCAATTAAAAAAAGGTTATTCTAGGTAATATCATAGAAGTAGAGAAAATGGAATGCCAACTCCCGCGAGATTTGTATTGCCCTCTGTGTTATGAGCTTGTGACCACGAGAGTTGGGCGAGAGTTGGGGAGTTTTACTTCCGGTCAACTTTCGTTGCACTACATGTGAATGGGGAGCAGGCGTGCTAAGACAATTGAGCGTCATTTTGACAGATTTTTGGTTCAATTTGATTAATAATGGCCTCGAAGTTGACATTATTGGAGGTAAGTCTGTCTCTTAGCTTGATTAAACGAAGCTGGATTGCAGCATGTGGATAAAATCGTCGATAATCGANTTTTCTCTACTTCTATGGTTATATGTTTTTATGAGTAAAACTTTAATTTTGGTTGTATTTTAAATTCCCAATTAGGGAAGGGCGCCATTAACATTAAACCGTTCACCACCGGTCCAGTGACATCTCGTACGGAGGCCCCTGTCACCCACACCGTCCCTCCCAAACGTACCGAGCCACCAAAAACCAGCGGCGGGCAGACAGGAGGGAAGAACTGCGTCTACATCGGCTCTAACAAGCAGGACGGTGCTGCTCACGACTCTTGGTGTCAGTCTAACTGCGCAGCAGGGTACTGCCCGAAGGACTTCTGTCGCTGTTCGGCAGTCCTCGGGTAGATTCGGTAGATTACGGAAAGCAGTTTTATGCAGTGAACTTGGTTGCCTGCGAGTAACGTCAATCACAACACTTGATGAATATTCAGTTTTCTGTTGTATTTACAATATTCATTGTCTGAATTAAAATGCAATTTGATTCAGTGCTTTTTATTGATACTTTTTGTTTAATTGAATTTGTTTTGCCATAACAGACACCTGGTTGAATAAAATTAGATATAAAATGCTGTATATACAAAATATTTTACATACCCCATATTTGATTTTTCTGCAAATGTATATTGCATTCAAAATCCCAGCTTGGGTCACTTCCGTGCGCCAATTTTAGTTTTATTAAAATCTCCCTCTGCAAGACATTTAGAGGATATAAGGTATGTTTTCTTGACCCCTGTTTTAAAAATGTGTACAAATATACAAAGAACAAATATAAAGTCGCCATATTAAAAATCCTTAACGCATGTCTACAAAATAAAATCAACCAATTACAGAACCAGCATACGATAGATTCATGCCTCGTTTCGGATTATAAAAATATATCATGAAAGTTCTTTCACATTCTGTTACATGTATGTCATCATCTTATTTTGGTTTGAAAGAAAAAACAGCACGTATTTGGATGGTGAAAAAATGAAATATGCGAGTTATAGACGGGGCCAATTTACGTAACATGCGCCAGTGTTGCCATATTAATGATGATAAGAGGGGAAAAATCATAAAAAAGCTGGTGCTTTATAATGCGTTTTATAAAAATGAAAGATGTACATGCAGAAAAGATGTCTTGATACAAGCCAACATGAATTTCACCGAGAAATAAATAGGGAGTGAAATTGCAAAGAAGTAAAAAAAGTTGTCCGAGTACACAGGAGGTTTATATGAATAACAAAACACAAAACAACAAACGTACGTTGTGAGACATACATACACTCGTACTGGGACATGTACATAGACCCCTTAAGCAAAACGCAACCATATGTTCATATAAAGACGACACTTTGGGACACAATTCATTATTTCCAGTTCAGTTTGAAGATAAATAACGGATATACCGGTATTTAACAGATTAATCAAGTCATCATATTGTGCTTTTACAGCCATTATAAAATGTTTATATGCTTATTTCTGAATAATGTTTACATTCAACTTTCGACTGTGTTTTCCAGAGTCGTAAAACCTCCGTCCAAGAAGAAAATCCCTCAATTGTGCACCACTGTCCTAAAAAAAACTTAAGTTTTCCTTTTGTAGAACTGCAGCCAGCACAGCTGGAAGCAGAAATCGACCACCTCCACCAGAGTCATCATGGTCATGCCCAAGACGAGCCCAAGTGCGCCACCTATATCTGCTAGAAGTGTCAGAAATGGGTACGAAGCACTTTGTATAGTTTCCTGGTAACTTAAATCAGAGTAATACACTTTTAAGATGACATAATTCGATTTCACGTATTCGGGTGACTTGCCAGTTATAGTCGCGGAGTAATTTGCGTAGGAGTCGGATATCCGGCTGTGTGTCACTCCGTGCTGGTATGATACTCCGCTGCACGGCTCTGAACAGTCGCAGTTTAAAGCGGCCGCCTTCTCATCGGAGTCGATGACAAGCTGTTGACCAACGCAAGTGTAGACGTCATAAGGGGAGCATTCCCTCGTTCCCGCCACTGGGGGATAGTAGTGCAGACGACAACCGCATTTCTGCATTATGTTTTTATGGCTGAAATAAATAATTATGTAAATTAATAAATGAATGAACAAACAGATTTCAATAAATGCAAATAAAATTAAATCAATGTGGGCATATCAGAAACATTTTTTTATATTTTTCGATAGAGCCAATTTTTATTAAAGTATTATGAAGGATTACATTTCCTGCCTTTCCCAGCACTGTCTACAACAGCGATTGCTACGTCAAGTTTTGGATATACAGTGTACCTTCGCTAGCTATTAGTTTTGTACTGGACTTACTTGCATTCTGCCATGCAGTTAACCTTGGAGTACTCTCTGAAATACGTCAAACTGCCGTCTCTACAGTTACCGTAAGGTGACGGAAGATTCTGAGCCTTAAATGGAGCAGAAGAACATAGAGTTTACAAGTGATGCAAAGGCTTGTTATCAATAATATAAGTGAACATTTTTTCTCCAACAGCCCTTTTCCTAATTCATCATACTTATTCCTAGATTGATTTTCAACAAATCAATAATTTCCATCTACATATACACTTGACGAACAGGTACAAAAGGATATAGTTTTTTTTAATAACCGTTAATCCTGTCCTAATATGCTAATAATAAAGAATCAATAAATTGGCGACGGTTTTGCCATCTCATTTCCCGCTATAAACGGGTCATCTATACAGTTCTGTATACACTAAAGACTTGTTACCGTACCCGAGCCTGTTTAATGGACAGCTGGGTAGTGGCTCCGGGGGCCACGAGGAGCCCGCGACTCCGAATCTCTGGGAATTCGTGAGGGTTGTGGACGCGAACCTGGTGTATATTGGGAGAAGGGAAATACACATTAAATTGATGAAAAATGTTTAATCAAATATCTTCAATTGATACTTGTAGCAATGTTTATATCGTTAAAGGTATAAAAACTGCATTAAAAAAAAAAAAACAAGAGGCAAGATGCATAACCATTTTACAGGTCCAAATATGAATATAACTTACATGTTGTAACTAAATTTTGGTTAAAAGTTGATACTAGTGAAGGGAGTGCCCACATGACAGGAATTTTGCATGTCCATTAATGTATGTAACTAACATCTTGTAAGAAAGTTCTGGTTTGAAGTTGATACTTTTTCTGTACGTGGAGTGCCGGAGTAAACGGAATGCAGTCCGCCAGGAACCAAGATCCTACGAACCACTATTCCTTACGAGCAATAGTCCTAATGGGAACTTAAATCCGGGCATAAATATGAGTGGGACTTCTTTTCCTATGACACCAGAAATTAAATCCTGATGTCATTATAATGTAATGTTTTAAAACACTCCTATTTACTCCAAAAATCGATGTTTGACTTGGTAATCCGATTTGAGCTGTCACTTCAAGTTGACTGATGGCGTGCTGAGCAATTAACCTTAAAAAAACGATAAAACTGTTGGTTATTCTTCACAAAAAGCAGACGACATTACCGTGTATCCCGCTGTAAATACCGACGACAGCGCCTCCTCTTGGGCGGTCCAGAGATGAAGAGTGAGGCCGTTAGATGACCCCTCTACCCACGTTTTCAAGTTGGTATCGCCTGATTAGAAAAATAAAAACTAATTCGTAAATGAGGCATTTCTTTAACGCATTTTTGAAATGGAAAATGAATATTGAAGGTTTCTCAAACAATGGCGTATGTCTAATTGTTCTAAATACAAGTGACAGTATAGAATTTTCTATACAACCGGCAGGACAGTTTTGATAGAAAACACTACAGCCTATCGACCCTAAGTAGTGGACTCGTAACTCCAAGACAGGTGGTCAATTTAGTCAGAATCCACAGGTGCAACTACGCGTCTACTACCTGTGGTACCAGCAGCTTAGAGACCAATCGTTAAAACGCGGCTTAGGGCTGAAGCATATCGAATTAATGTCCTGTTGTAAAGCTCATTGAGCTAATTAAGGAGTGAAAGAAAAACTAATAGTCCGATATTTCATCTAAACAATATCTCTAATAAAACATAGTAAAGTGAATTCTTTATAAATAATTAATGACACTAACAGTCCTCCATTTGAGAAAAAACAGTAATAAAAGCGCACTTTTTGAGATGCTAAAACCAAACGAATGACAAAAGAAAGCTGATCATTAGTTGCCAACAGAAGTACCTACCCCAGTTGAACTGATAGCAAAGCCCCATTTCTGTGACCACGGGAGTAAAATTGGCAGCCGAGCAGGTGGACACCGAGCCGCTTGAAGCACCCCAGGCGCAGAACTAATAGATGAACGTTGATTAAAAGTACAGTTGGTTTCATATTAACTTCTCTCATGAAACATTATAAGCTTGACATATCGGATGCTTTCGGATATAATAATAATAATAATAATAATATATTTATTTCAAGTCTAAAATCCATAAAATGTTCAATAGACTGTACAACATAAAATACAAAGAAGTTTATAGATAGTTTATAGATAAAAATGGTTAAGATATGTTTTATATAAATAAGAGCTAAACTAACTTAATTGTAATAAACAGTAATTAAAAGTAAAAAATCCAAGGTTTCTTTAAAATTGTAAAATTTAAGATTCATGAATAAAATGTCTTAAAAATATGAGTTTTTAATTCCTTTTTAAAAGATTCTTGTGATTCTATTTGTCTAATAAAAATATATAAAAGCATGATGCTCCAACAAATCAGATTTAAACATGTCTTTTTACATGTAAATTCATTTGTATATCTCTAAAGCATACGTGGTGCTCATTTGGATCGAATTTTGGTTCTTTTTTACGAGTTATATCCATGAAAATTTAAACGATTATATATTACGGATGCCATAATTTATCGGTTGCATTAAAATATTTTGAAGTTGCTTTTGAGGAAAAAAATAACTAAAAGCCACTTACGCCACCATAAATGTTCTCGAATTCATATCCATTCCTAATATGGAAATCTGTCCAGTTCACGCTACTGGCAAACGGCGTTGGTGTCAGGCGGTGGGGCGGGTACATGTATGCCACGCCAGACTCGTTATTGGCGGACAGGGAGCTGGCATTGAATACGTTATTATTGCATATTGTCACCGTTGGAAACTGTAGCGAGTCCTTGTGATGTACGGCGATGTTAACGGACACCGGGTTCCCAGCAAACGTGGCAAAGCGGTTGTATATATGGTAGAACATGCAGATCATTCCACCCATGACGCAGAGGCCCCATATAAACCGTCGGAACAGAGAGAATTTGGGGTTAATGGCTTGTTTCAGTCCTAAAATGCTGACCTCGTTGGCAAAGTTCGTGAGATATATGCTAAGAGGGAGGTTGGCGTTTGTGTCGGTCTTCTTGCCGTTGCCATGGTTTTGTTTCTCCTGCGACGTGTCCAGCACTGTGGAACTGGTTCTGGTAAAGGTCACGTATTTCACGTTCTCCTGGACAGCAAACGGGTCATTATCCTCGACGTGATTCATTTTGGAATTATCACACCGTTTCTCCCACCATCTCCGAGTATTCTACTATCTCTGCAAATGAAAAACATGTGACTTTGGGGTAGTTCGCAATGGGTATGGCGCTACATGTAGCTAGAGAGGACCAGGAACTCTTGCTGAGTGCAATCAGATTGACAGACTAACCATCCTCCTTTTGTTTCCCAACGTAATAATATCATAACTCTGTATTTTATGTATTCTACTCAATACCAGAAGCGCAGTCTTAATTTGATAATCTGATTGCATTCAGCAAGAGTCCCCGTGGAGTAAAACCACACTAGTTAGGATGACGTAATTCTTTCTGAAGGGTACCTTATACTGAACGATGCTGCGCCCTTGATTCTGAAACTCTTTGCCTTACGTTTGCTGGTCATCTACCTCTTGTTACGTGCGTTGATATTAACGGTAAATGAGCAAGGGCCAGATATTAAAAGTATAAAAGGTTTGCCTAGCTTCCTTTTCATTTATCGATATATTTTAAGTGAGAGCTACTCAAATATATATTAACAATACCTAGAGACCGTTAAGTGCCCTTCTCTCTCTCATTAAAAGTGTGTGAAGTAAAATTACTTTAAAGTGATGCCTTTTTATGTCTTGATGAGAAGTTACTTTAACGTAGAGAGAAGTAAATGACCAAACACAAGAGAACAATAAAATGTGTGTCCTTTGAAAATAACATAAAAAAGCGGATACACTCGGACCACTTGTAGTAAACTATGATTGGCTAAATTCTCATCAAAGGCTTATTGTAATCAACTCGAAGACAAAAAAAGTAAACAACGATAGAAGTGACAACTCGACTAAGCAATTATTGGTAATAGGTCTTTTCTGTATAGGGGCTTAAATTGTTTGATATACTAGTAAGTAAATAAAAGCCATTGACGCCGATTTTGCTACTAAGCTTTTATCGATACTTATATACGCCGTGCGTGACGCCTTCATCTATATTTAAATTACGCGTTTTTTATGAGATAATGTCCAATCAGGCATCAGTTTTCAAACGAAGTATATACATTCGGTTGTATTTCAAGTGTTTTCATCAAAAATTATATCAAGCAATATTTGCGGTGTTCCACGTGGAGGAAATATCACCTGTGTCGCCCATTTTGAAACCCATTTAGATCTTCACCAGCATACTGAGAGTATAATTTAAACACTAAATATGAAGTTAACATGTAATTATTTAGAACTCCAACGAAAATCGTTGTAAATAACGCTTCAAAATTATTGACATAAATTGCGCAATGGTTACTCATATCAAATTACATACAATAAAAAAAACACAAGCAATTATCTTCCTAGCAAACACGTCACGTTCGGATCACGTGGCTAGCACGTTGCTATGACGTAATAAGTGTTTGCTGGGTTACGCTGTCTGACATGACAGCAAAAAACGTGGGGCCGGCAATAGGAACTTTCTCTTTATTATCCCATGAAGTCACTGGCAATATCTTATTTGCATATGAAGTCGCATTTTATCCTGTGATTTAGTAGATTTGTCAGTAAAATTAGGGTATTAATCCCTGAAGTGGAAATATACCGTGAAATATCTTATCACACGCGTGCGCATAGTTTTTTAAATACATCAGCTTTCGTTGGGAGTTCAAATCGACCCTCCATGACTTAGCATAAATCACATGATTTGCTGGCAGATTTAACACGTTCAATAATTTCACTTTTACCAAAACACAGGTACAGGTGTTTTGTTACTGTTGCTATGCAGGTAGCTAGGCGAAGTGACAGGCAGTCAGAGAGCACGGGTAGCGTTTCTTATTAACACAGGTACTCTTCTCACCGTTAATACTGCTTAGGTTTTAGTGAGACGATAATCACGAAATATCACCAGTGGCTCGATACACATACAGGGGTTATACATTGTAATAATACACATACAGGGGTTATACATTGTAATAATCGTCCCGTATACGAAAAAGGTAAACAAATGCATACAGATCAGCGCATCGATTCATATGTAATGTTTTCTGGATCGAAATTAGTTCGTTGCATGTCTACATTGGTTTTTTCTCTCTCTCTCTCGCACGTGCACGCGCGCGCGCGCGCGCACACACACACACACACACACACACACACACACACACAGTTTTTCATTCAACTTTCTTTGAAACACTACAAATAAAGCTAAGCAATAAAATACCTCTTTCCTCTCTCATCTCCAAATCACAAAACTCTAAGGCTCGACGCATTTTGGTCAGTTATTTTTTTAGAATGTTAATCCTTCCGCTTGATTTATTTCACTTCTCTTTGTTTTAATATATACGTTTAAATATTTTTCCCGTTTTTTAAATAGTCCCTCAGCCGATTCAGATCATTTATGTTTAAAAATGTTACCCTTCGCTTTTCTTCTCATTTATTATATTGCACCTTAGCTGAACGTTAAAGAAAATCACGATCAATTCAACCTGCTTCCCGCCATTGTCACCAGGTGTCTGATGTCAGTGTGTAGTATCAGGTTGTCCACAGCCTGGACACCGTCTAGTTACAATTGAGTTATCTTTGTGATATGTGTCTTTAAAGTACGTGCATATATGTGACCAACTTCTAGTATCTGTAGATGCGTCTTACCTTGGTTCAGTGAACCTTGAGCTTGCCTTGTTTTACCCCTGACAGCCACGATGTGTATCTTTCTTCCTGCCTTTCTATCTGTCTGCCTACCTTTTTGCCTATCTGACTGTCTGTTTCTTTGGTTCTACTCACTCAGAGCGAATGTCCTAAAACCCTTGACGTAGACCTCACAATGAAGAAAAAAATCGTTTCGACCAACCGTGTAAGTCGACAGACAAGAAAACTCCTGGCTCTCCACCTGCTATCTTCGATCCCTCTGTCTGTCAGTCAGGTAATCAGCCTGGCTTTTGTTTTTTTTCTCTCAGAACGTTCTCTTTTCCTCCCAACTCAGACACCCTACAAAGGTATGTCTGGCGCCTGAAATATTATTTTTGCACATATCAGGTCACTAAAATCGTAAGAAAATGTCAATCAATTCAACGTAAACTCCCTCGTAATTATTTAAAGGGGCTATGGAGTAGCTACTTAGCTTTTTATTTTCATTGCACGTTCCGATCAATGGTGGTCCGGATATTGATACGGCTCGTCAACGAAATCGAACATTATTAACAAAGGCTGGCAATCATTACTGTGGTTTTGTTATAAGTGTTAACTTGATCAAATAAGTTGAACAATGCCTGGCATTAATTTTCTTATTTTGGCAAGTGGATTTACGCCGCATTCTTCCAATCTTGTGGCTCTTTACTGACGCAGTTTCTTCATTTGGCCAGTCATTTCTGTCATTTAGACAATTGATCGTTTTTGTACACTCATTAAGAACAAATTTCCTTAATCTCAATACAAACCTTTTCCTAAGTATTTCCAACTATTGGCCAAGTCATTCCGACCCATTTAGGCACTTAATCGATTTCATCATGTATGAAAAGATTCTATGCGTCTAATCTAAAACAAGGAGTTATACACAAATATTTTACGTCTTTGATAAAATCCGATCTAATTGCAAGGACATCACAGTCCATTCATATATAGTAGCGTGACGTAAAACGAACATTTAGTGTCAGGGAATTTATTAATCCAGTTACATAACCACACGCTGTGGCGGATGCGTAAAGGAACTTGTGGAGAGTGAACGGGATCTGGCCATGCCGTGTTTTGTCTCAGAACCATGGTGACAAATAACACTCTAAGTCGAGAGAATATCTACTGGGACTACCTCCGACCAAAAATCGTGGGAAAACTTGAGATTTTCATTGTTTTTTTCATCTTCCCCAGTTTGAAATTATTGGATGACATGCCAATGTTAATGTTAAATTTTAGTAAAGCTGAATAATTTCCCCAAATGAATCGCTGCTCCATAAAGTATAAGTAATATCTTTAAAATATATAATTATATGTACTTTTAATAAAATAAAAATGAAAAACAGTTCATGTTCTCTTTAAGTAAAAAACCCTGTGTTTATTTATCGAATTATGTTTTCGTTGGTGACATATATATATTGTGGTGAAAAACTGATAAAAGAGTACGACAAGAATCTGAAATAACTATTTTTTTGCTTTCAGTCCTGGTGCCACTGCACGTACTGGTGAACAGAACGTTAAAAAAATCTGTGAGTGAAACGATTAAAATAAAACAGCATCTCTCCTGTCACACTTTTTAAGAAAACAATATTTCCATGGCAAAAGTATTTATCAAATGGACTTTGTCAATCTATCCTAAGCTGTTCGCTCTTCTTTCTTGTTTTGTTGAAGACATATTTGCTCTGTAACGACGGATGGGGTTCATCCGAGAGAAGGTTCGTAGAAGAGTCCTAGGAAGACAAAAAATAGGTTCACAAGTATACAGTTTCATTTTTGTGGATATTTTAGTCACGTTTTAAATTTTTTCGGGCATCTACATGTATTAAAAGCTAGTTGTTTAACGTAACGCAAAGTGTAGGTACCGGTACCCTAAGCCAAGTTAAAGGGAATACAAGAAAGTGGCTTTATTATCTATGTCTTCCGTTCAGTGCTCTTTGAGTTTCCTGACAGGGTTTGACTAAGCGTGATTGCACAAAAGAAGTCGAATTTCACTGTTCTATTTGACAAAAATAAAATCTGTCAAAATATTGCAGAAGATTTTAAATACCTCAAGTACATTTACTTTTTTACATTCTTCCGCAAAATTCCCCAAATTCCCCAAACGTTCCTTCCAGGTAAAAATGGCAATGTTTTGCAAAGGGAAATAACACCCCTCCCCGTGAATAAAAGTAGCCAAGTTACCGGTAGTTAATGTGCTTACAACAGATCAATCAAACACATTAAATAAATAAATTGTATTTCTGTTAATCCATTGTTGTACAATACGTACCTGCTATACAAGCTGTCGTAAAACTGGCCACGTTTCCGGCAATCATTGCCCTTACGACAACCTTGGCGCAGTCGGACTTCCGGCGTGGAGCCATGGCAGCAAAGGCGCCCAG